TGATGAGTGTGACTTATGATATGGCCCCAGGGCCTTAAAGTAGACAAACTTGCACCTGTCCTTGTCCATGGCCAATCTGAAGGAGTCCTCCTCCAGCTCATGCTGGTTCTCACAGCCCCGTGTGCAGGAGTACATGCACGTCTCAAAGCAAACATTGTTCAGGAGCCCGAAGGAGCTTTGCGTGCTGAACACTTTGCAGGTGTAGAGCTTCTGAAGATCAGTGCACGTAATGGCTTGCTTTTGCACCACCAACTCAGCGCCCTGCTCCTCCAGCTTCTGGATGACGGCGGCCAGTCAGGTTAGCGGTGCACAGTTCTGGATCCTTGGTGAAGTCGCGGGTGTGGCAATAAGGAGGTTTGTTGAGGTAACAGTTGAGCGAGCTGTGGATATTGATGAGCGATGACTCGAGTAGTGCTGCCTGCTCTTGGAGCGCGCCTTGGTGTACAAAGAGTGTAACATGGAGCACAGCGCCCCCTTGTCCATGGTCTCGAGGTAGTGGCTTTGGGCTTTCTCACTCAGATACTTGTGGAAGATGCACACCGTGTACTGGGTGGTCAAGCTCATGTTCTCCGGAGCGTTCCCCCATGCTCCACCTGTGGCGCCCTTCCAGATGGGCTGGCCCTAGCCAGCTATGGAAGACAGGAGCTGAGGTCCGCGCCAGTCAGCTACCTGCACTGACGTGGTGCAGCCAGTGGTGGGTATCAGCCAGAGAGTCAAGATGAGGCCAAGCAAGGAGGACCTGGGCATGCTGGGTGAGCGGGGCACTTGGAGGGCATCCATGCAGGGCCTCCTGGGACCCCCATGAGGGTCTGCTGCACTGTATATTCTCTGGGAACTTTTTCTGAGCTCCTGGATTTGCAATGCATGTTGTGCGGGGTGGGGGAACACGAACACACACACACACAAATACAAAATGGTCATTAGGGCAGAGAACTGGTTGTTAAATTATTTGAATTACACCATTGCTTTTAGCTATGCAATTTGGGATGAACACCCTGGTGTGGAAGAATGAACAGATTTCCAGAAAAAAATTGCAGACTACAGGAATCATTAGCACAGATAAGCCTCCAAGTGCTTCAAAGACCTTCTAAAAGGATGCAGATGACCAACTCTGCAAGGAATATAAATCCTTCCATTCCCCACCATCCAGTCAGAGCTTCTTGGTTGAGAAGTGAAATGTCTTCAAAGAAAAAACAAGCAAGTCCAGTTGCCTCCTGAAAAAGCACTTTTGGGACATTCAAAACATTAGGAAAAATAGTAAAATTTTAATCTAGAGATGGATGGATGGACAGACAGATATAGTGAGATTACTACTATTTTTGGAGCTAAGAATGTGGCATAACCCTAATTTTTCATCATTTCAGTATATGATATAGTTGTAGTTAGTTATAGTTATAGTTTATAGTTAATTTTCTTTTTGATTATGACTAATTATAACAACATGTAAGCCAGGGGTGGGTTCTAAAAATTTTTATTACCGGTTCTGTGGGTATGGCTTATTTTGTGGACGTGGCTTGGAGGTCATGTGACCAGGTGGCCATGGCTATGTGTATAGGGACTACTCAGAGGGCTGAAAAAAGTCATTTCTGACTTTTGACTGGTCCTCACACTTATGACCATCCTCACATTTATGCCCGTGCAGCATTCTTAACAACCATGTCACTCATTTCACAACTGCTTCTCTTCACCATGGTGACAAGATAGGGCAAAAAATGTAAAATGTGAGGACAGTCGTAAGTTCGAGGACTGGTCAAAAGTGCGAGGACCAGTCAAAAATAACTTTTTCAGCCCTCTGAGTAGTCCATATGCATAAAAGGATTCAATTATTTCTTCAAAGTGCTGAAGATTGCACCCTGGCTGGAAGAACTCCAACAGGGAAGTATTTCCTCCCAACAGCGGTGTAAAAAGCTTAAAACAACCCTTCCCCTTTAAGAAAGTCAAGCAAAAAAATAGCCTCCGGAACCGGAAGTGACAGTAAGTCTGGGCATACTGCTGGAGAGGCAGTTTCTGTAATAAAGATTAGGCTAGGAAACACCACCAAATGTTGTAATTAATCCTTACAGGATTAACCCTGTAAAGTGGAAAAAAACAAAAGGAGATTTCTTTTAACAACTGGTTCTCCGAACTGCTTAACTATTTAACAACCGGTTCTACCGAAGTAGAATCCCACCACTGGGTCTACCCATTTATTTTTGCAGGCACCGTTCTACTCATTTGTTTTCTTTTAACACTGATCAGCTGTAGGGCGGCCCTTTGAAGCCCCGCGGCAAGAGTTTAAAGTTTTTTTCCCTCTAGCCATCAGCTGGGACTGAGGCAGCAATAGATTGGGGGTGGGGCCAAAGAAAAGGTAAGAAGGGGCGGGGGGGGCAGAACCGGTTTGGTGATGTCATATCATCACCGCTACCGGCTCGGCTGAACCAGGAGGAACCCACCAGTGATGTAAGCCCCACGTGTATGCCAATTTATTAATACTCATGATGGTGCCATTTCTTTGCCTTCAGAAATTTTCCATTTGGAGCTCAAATTAAACAGGGAGATCTCATGTTCCTAATTCTATAATGAATGTAATTGCTGAGTTTAAAAGTACATGAGAATTTAACATTGTGAGGATATTTTTTTTTTAATGAAAAAGAAATTTTTACACTGCTGAGAGACTTTGCAATCAGGTATGAAAAATAATAGATCACTGGATTTAAAACAGCACTTTGTCTCTTTGGTCTTTAAAATAGTGTGGATCAGGGGTGAAATGTAACATTTATTACTACCGGTACTGTGGACGTGGCTTGGTGGGGGGTAATGTGACTGGGTGGGCATGGCCAACTTTTTTTTTTTTAACTTTTCAAAGCATTTTTTCTAATGTTTTGAAAAGCCTCTGCTGATCAGGCAACTCAACTGGAATCATCAGAGACTTTTCAAAGCATTTTTTTTACCACCTCTTCGACCAAGAGGTTGCAGAAAAAAAATACTTTGAAAAGCCTCTGACGATCCCAGCTGAGCCGCAATCATCAGAGGCTTTTTTTTTTTTTTTACTTTTAAAGCATTTTTTTGCCGGAAGAGGTTGTAGAAAAAATGCTTTTAAAAGTTAAAAAAAAAAGCCTCTGATGATTGTGCAGCTCAGCTGGGCATGGTGGTGGTGGGGGCTACCGGTTCTCCGAACCACCCACCGTCACTACCGGAGCAGATGATCCGGTCCGAACCGGGAGCATTTCACCCCTGGTGTGGATCCACATTTACTGGACCCACACTTAGATTTATCTAGTTCGAGACAATCTGGTAAATTCCAATATGCTAATCATTTTAAAACAATATACTGTAGGCATTATTGATATAGGCATGCGAAAGTTTAGATATCCTGATCCAGCTGTATGATTCAATAAAATTGACACGTTGTGCACAATACAAAGGTAAACAAATATATTTCTGCAAATCTAAATGGAGGATATTTGTATACAGTTGTTTAATTAAGAAAGTGAACTATTAACTATTATCTTTCAGCATCTTCATTCTGTTACCGTGAAAACAACAGCTTCCAAATGTTTTCTATAGGCAGGTAAAAGTCTCTCTATTCTATTCTTTCTTTCCTTGCTAAATTCTTGTACCTCAGAAACATTCATAGGTTTCCTTCTATACACCATAAAGACCACTTAAATGTTTTTAATCTTTCCATCTTTCTTTCAAGTACCGTACTTTATAGTTGATTTGAAAGTGTATTTTGGATACAAAATCTTTTCTACATTCCCATTTCCACAATTAGAAGGGACAGACTTTGGACTGTACTTGCAAAAAAAATTGGTTATATAGAAATTGTTTTTGACGTAGTGTGTAATATATGTTCAGGAATTTAAAAGCAGCATACTACAGTGGTGCCTCATAACATCATCTGAATTCTTATCAGGAATGACAAGGCAACAAATAATTACAGGGTATTCTGTCAGTCTCACAAGTGGTAAGCCAAATGTAATTTATTCATTTATAGATTTCAAATGAAACTATAATGTATAAAGGTATTTGTTTGCCTTTGAGGCATAAATTGATGGGTTTTGTACTGATGAATAAGGATGAAAGAACTTTAACAAAAATAAAGCTGGTTGTTTTCAATTGGGATTATCAGTGGACATCACCCGTAGTAGGCAAAAATTATTTCACGTGTATATCAGGATACCAGGGATTGGTGAATATTTTTGGATATGAATGGTGTTACATTATCCTGCTCAAATCCAGTGTGCAATGTGGTGTCTTCTCCTGGATTCAATTTCTTTTCAAAGAGCAGATGGCACCTACAACCAGATGATCTTTGCCCAATTTCATCTTGCCCAATTATGTCCATTCTTAGACCAGGAATCCCAGCTTTCTGTCACACGTCTTATTACCTCTCTGTTACACTATTGAAATATACTTCATGTGAGGTTACTCTTGAAGACTACCTTGAAGTCTCAAATAGTCCATGATGCAGTGGCATGGATATGTTTAGCATACTTCAGTACACCTATAAACCCCACTAACCACCTGCACTGCCTTCTTACAAGCTTCCAGATACAATTCAGAATGTTATTACCTGTAAAGGTCTACCATGGATAGGCTATTAACAGGATTGCCTTTCTTCAATATTATCTGCCTGCCCACATGTCCTACAAGGAAACACAATAATCTGAAGGGACCTACGAGGTGTACCTTTAGTTGTGGTGCCTGCCCTTTGGAATGATCTCCTCCCCCCCCCTCAATGAATGGTTGCCCCAAACCTTTTGGCTTTTTAGAAAGGCACTTAAAATCTTGGGTTGTTTTTTGGGCATTGGGATCAGGATGACTAAAATTTTTGCTTGGAAGAGTGTAGTAAATGTGACTTTTTGATCATCTACCAGTGTTTTATTTACTGATTTTTATTTGTAACTGTTGTTTTTGTAAATCTAATTAACTGTTGAAGGAACTAAAAGGTAGCATAAAAATAAACTGTACATCATTGAATAAGAGTATTGTGACAGAAAGGAATATAAGATCTAGCCAACTGTATCTGTACATTTTATTATTCATTCAGTTAAGTGCTGCCCACCTTCTTGCGTGAGGAGGACCAACAGCAAAGTTCCCACCCATTTCTGTTGCTTTTGCATTCTGCTTACTTTGTTCTTCTGGATGTCAACTGTGAAATGGTTTGAAAATAAAAATGCTGCTGTCTTTTGTCCAACTGCTTCGTTTCCAAATACAAAATCATGTTGCACTGTACTTCAATGAATCTATAGGAAGGAATAAGCTTAGTAATTGATTTTTGGATAATCTATTTTGTCCCCTCTTCCCATTTTTGGCTCTTTTTAGTTTTAAAGTTACCATAGTACATTGGATTTCTAAATCCTGTGGAATCAACTGAGTTTTGAAAATATGTTTTTGATTTTCAATTTTAGAGAACAACGTGGAATACTAAATTTACTAAATACTATACAGTGCAAAAATATCTGAAAAAACATCACGCTGAAAAATACTGGGTTCAATTGCATAACAGGCTGGAACATTATTCCTTAAAATACTTGCTTAATCATTGTAACACATAAAAGAAAAAATGCAGTCTCAGAAGGATTTTTAGTCCTTCAAGTCAAGTTTGACTCCTTGTGACTACATGGACATATACGTTTTTCCTTCTCTCTTAGCATTTATATGAAAATAAGTATGCTTTTCCTTCCCAGTATACAGCTCTGGAATATTTTGGCTGTCTTCCATCTTAATACCAAACAGATCCAAATTACGTTACTTTTTTTAAAGATCAACCAATGTCAGTTTGGTGCTATATCAAACAACAAACAAAATTATGGGCACATAAGGATGTCAGCTTTATTTAGCATCATCCTGCTCTACCCATTATTACTACCTACTAACTGTTTCTTATGACACGCCGATTACTCCAGAATATGACTTCTAAGGATGCAGTTTGAGGAAAAGAGCAGGTAAGGTATTCATTGACCCTTACAAAAGAATTAAATATGATTAAGCAGTGTGATTTTCAAAGAACGGCCTCTGAGCTAGAATACACAAGAGAGACAAGTGGAATACCAGCTATGTCTCTTAGCAGTGCAGGCTTAAAACAGGTTTATTTGGAAGCAATTCTTAACTCTCTTCAGTGCAAATTAATACATAAAAGATCACACCTAACAGAATCAAAATAAGCAAGGGCCTCAAAACGAGGAATGGTTTGTATGTTTGGGATGTTTTAAATACTGTAATGTAGCCAATTGTATCAAAATTAGCTGACTGAAAAGAAAATTTCAGAATGTTGCCCTGTAACCAATTTGTGGGATCAGTGCCAAAGATACAAAAACATGGAGGGAGAAAACAGAATTTACAATCTTATTGTTTACAATTAATGCCTTGATAAAAGGGTACATTTGTTCCTGAAAGACATGCATTTTTTAAAAATTATAGAATATACTAGTGATATTCAAGTTTTAGAATTTATTTTGTAAAATTAAGTACTTTTTCCATATGGTATTAATGTGGTCAACATGACATAGGGAATACATTATGGGATACTGTATATAAAGCAGTTTATTTTAGTACCTTATCTTCTAAATTAATTGAACTATTATCTCATGTTCTGGGTATATTATTTCTGCAGCTGTCCAAGATAGATTATTAATTACAACAGATTTTAGCAGAATTCTATTAACAAGGAGCCTGAGTAGCGTAGGAGGCTTAATGCCTCCTACTAAGGTAGCATTTAACATCCAGCTGCCTGCAATTACTGCGAGTTCAATTCTCACCAGGCTCAAGGTCGACTCAGCCTTCCATCCTTTCTAAGGTGGGTAAAATGAGGACCCGGTTTGTGGGGGCAATAAGCTGACTTTGTATAAAATATACAAAAGTATGAAGGCTATTGCTTAACGCACTGTAAGCCACCCTGAGTCTCCGGAGAAGGGCGGCATATATTAAAAAAAAAAAAAAAGTTCCCATATTGTATTAGGAAGCGATATTTGCAGATAAATAAAAAATCTAAATACATAATTATTAAATAGAGAATTATTAAATAATTATTAAAGGAAGATCTTTCTATGGTAGAAACAGATACAAAATAAAAATTAAAGTGTTATATTGTTTTACATTAGATGTATATATTCCAGCTTTAGAGACCATGGTTTCTAAACCTTGGAATGGGAAACAAATGTAAATGCTATTGTAAGTGGCTTTGAAAGTTCAATCCATTACTATGAAACATGATTTCCTGTACTGGAAATGGACATGAGGTTTAATGTTGATTTACCTTGGACTTTAATCACAAGGAAAGTAACATTACGCCACAAGCTCTAGAAACAAAAAAATGACTCAGTAAAGCCAACTCACAAGAAAAATGTTCATTATTGCTTTTATAAATAATTGATTTTTTGAAGATGAATTCATATTCAAAACCAGACCTAGTGTTTTATATGTTTTACAAAATATATAAGTAAAAATTCTTGTAACTATTTGCCCAAATGATTATTATGAATGAGAATGCTAATATTCTACATGTAATAAAAAAAATGCTGGCACTATGCTTCAAAATATTGTATCTGATTCTACTAAAACATCAGGAAAGAAATTTAATTTGATCATGTTCCTCTGAAGGAAAATTAATATGTATTTTTATACTTGGTAAACTGCTTCATTCTGTTTACACATGTTCAGTTTCCGGCTGGGTTGTTATATCTTCAGAAACAGAAAAATATTCTGATAGAGTGCTTTGGTCACTAGCAGTGGACACTTGATTTACATCTTCAACATCAGGATCTGAATTTGCTGTGCAATTTGTTTCATTAAGTATTGAAGGAGATCTATATTCTTGGACAGCTAATGGATGACTTTCTAAAAAATTATTTTCATTATGATCAATGGAAACTGAAGTGCTGCTTGCATATGAATCACAGACTAAATTTTGCTGAGAAACAATATTATCATTTTGAGATTTTAGACATGTGCCCATGCAGAATAATGACGAATGACATATTGCCTTTTGTTTTTGATACACAGGTCCATTTTTTCTGAATGAAACAGGTTTTTTTTTCAAATGCAATTTTAGCTTTTGAGTTAACTTCTGATTTATTATAAGCATATTGAGTTTTATTGAAAGACATTGCTGGAGAAATCAAAGTCTCATAATTATTTCTGGAAGCTTTTTTGACACAATATATATATGGAGTATTTCCTGTCCAAGTACAATTATTTGAAAATAAACTTCTAGGTATTGGTGACTGCTTTGAAATGTTCTGTTTAGATGTCTCAAAATAATTACTTTCAGAAGATAAATCTGAGGAAAAATGTTTTCCAGTAACATTTGGATTAAAATTGATGGCTGTGTTAGTACTAATAGTAGTAGTAGCAGCAATTTTTGTAGAGAAGGATGAAGAGATTTTCCCATTTATATTTCTCAGGTTGCAAACTTTGCTTTTAGGATTTTCCAGAAAGGAAGTGGACAACACTAACTTTTGTTTTTGGAAAGATGAAGTAGATGACACTTTCAAGTTGGCACCAAAATTTGAAAAATACTCCATAACTTCTGTTGAGACTGGTTTTAAAGTCTTTTTTTGGTTGTATAGCTGTCTCAGATACATTTGGGCATGCAGTAAATGAGAACAGGGTTTTAGAAGGATACATTTCTACAGGAGTTGGCAAAGGTTTTTCTGTCTTAAGATATCTATTGGTATTTTCCAACAAGTTAGTTTTCTTGGTGTCATTTTGAGTGCCTTTTGGGTCTAATACATTACAACTAGTATTTGAGCTATAAAAATTGAAGTTTGGGGTTTGTGTTTTGAATGTAAAACCAAGGGAATTAGATAAACTACATTTATCGGTGCTTTGTCGTCGTAGTATTTGCGAATTTTGTTTCTTCTGATTATGTGTTTCAACATCTAGGCAAAACAAGCCATTTCCTGAAATTACCTTTTTTGAAAACCAAAATTTTGGCAATGTATTTCTTTCATGTAAATTCTCTGCATGTAATTCATCTGAATGTACTTCACGTTTCATGTAATGTATATAACGCAGCTCCTAAAATAGAAGAGGATACCATACTTATTGCAAATTTCCCAAAATGATTAGCTGGTTTTATAATTATTTTCTACCAGCATTTTAGATTTATCTAAAATGTAGCAGACCTGACTGAACCAACTTTGGGTGATCTTAAAAAAGATGAACAATGCTGAACATTGTTAATAAACCAGGAAATCCCAAATCTCTACTGTAGGTTATACCCTAAGTTGAAAAAAATATTCTGGAAGGTAACAATGCCAAACCAATTTTGTGTTATTGCCCCCCCAAAACTACATGGAGTACCCACATAGTCAACAGGAGTCAAAACTGACTTGATGGATTGTTTATATTACTAAGTAAGTTACATGTTACGGTACTTAAATTTAGTTAGATATTACTAAATAAATATCCAGAAATAGCACAGTAGGAAAAATAAGGTTATATTATAGGGTGAATCATAATTTTTTCCCCCCAAAATGCGATCCAAGTAATATTAGCAGTATACATACTTCGTATAAAAGATGAAAGAAACAGGGAGGCTGTAATACACTGGGTGGATTTGAATAACCTGACTCTTTTACATGACAACTAATTACCAGCTTCATTTAACAGTGGCACAGAAGATATAGCCCAGATTTGATATTTGTGAATGATTGTATAATCCAACAATGTCACCTATTCCAAATCCTCAGCACTGGCCAAATTATGTGTCAGTTTACTGCTGTAGTTCAGCTTCACAGTATCCCCTTTAGATGTAGGTATAACTTTAATTTTAAAAAAGCCAACTGGCCTAAATTTCAAAGACTGTTGGACAGTGCTATTATTCAATTAATACCTAAACCAAACTAAAGAGCCATGGTGGTGCAGTGGTTAGAATGCAGTATTGCAGGCTAATTCTGCTGACAGCCGACTGCCGACAGTTCAAGTCTCATCAAGGTTGAGGCAGCCTTCCATCCTCCCAAGGTTGGTAAAATGAGGACCCAAATTGTTGGGGCAATATGCTGACTTTAACCACTTAGAGAGGGCTGTAAAGCACTGTGAAGTAATGTATAAGTCTAAGTGCTATTGCTATTAAACAATTTTGTGGAGGCCATTAAAAAATGTTCGCTGCTATCAGTCCTACAGGGTTGTAAAACCAACTATATCCAAGGCCTTACAGTGGAAACAAACGAAAAACCACAGAAGTATCTCTCTCTTTTTGAAGTGGATTCTATGGCAGAGGACACAGTGAATGCAGGCCAACAGTTAATTACTTCTATAGCTGAAGCTGGATTAAAACAATAGAGGAACTGGACATACACATAAGTAGCCATAAAGTTTGGAGATTGTTGAGCTGCCTGAATAATGACCCAAATTGCTCTAGAGATTATGCCAACATGATTGCAGACAGAATAGCCAATCGGCTTCTTAAGAATGGCAACCCAGATCAAAGGCCACCAAAACAGAAGATCAAGATCAATAGAAATGAAGAAGATGAAACGACTAACTTATCGTCCTCCTTTATTATGGAAGAACTAAGAGAAAGCTGCTAGTTTGGATGACATCCTTATTGAACAGATAGAGCAATTGGGGCCAAAAGCAAAACAGTGGCTACTAGAAATGTTTAATTGAATGCTTGGAACAATGTAAGATTCCTAGTGTCTGGCAAAAGGTTACAGTTGTAGCAGTTTTAAAACTAGGGAAAGAGGCCAATAACCCTAAGAACTACAGTCCAACTTCTCTCGTGCCATACCTACAAAATCTTTGAAAGAATGATACAAAATCGCCTTACTGTAGCTGTAGAATACTTTCTCATACCACAGCAGGCTGGATTTTGCTCTAAAAAAAGTTGCATCACTCATATCCTGAATTTAACCCGCTATATCAAAGATGGATTCCAAAAAGGCAATGTTACAGGAACTTCATTCATAGATCTCACAGCTACATATGATACCATCAATCTTAGGAAGCTGAAGGAAAAAGTTCATGATATGACTAAAGATTTTAAATATAAATATCATCAGGAATCTGCTTGACAACCGTATATTTTTTGTGGAGTTCCAGGGGGAAGGCGAAGTAGATGGAGGAACCAAAGAAACAGCTTACCATAAGATAGTGTATTGGCTCCAATTCCTTTTAATATTTATACAAATGATCAACCACTCCCTGAAAGTACTAACAATTATATGCTAATGATCAGGCAATGGCTGTACAGGGAGAAACATTTGAGGGGATTGAACACCGTTTAACTGAAACCCTGGTAGAGCTGGATCAATACTATTGTGATAACCAGTTAAGACCAAATCCAGCAAAAACTCAGATATGTGCCTTCCATCTTGGAAATAAGTAGGCTGCTGGAAACTGCATATTATATGGAATAGGAAGTTATTGGAGAATTGCTACAGCCCTGTATATTTAGGGGTCACTCTAGATAGGGCTAGATCATATAAGCAGCACTGAACCAATATTAAAATGAAGGTCAGTGGATGAAACAACATCCTCAGGAAATTAATGAGCTCTATCTACCAAGGTTCCTTAAGACAATACCTCTGGTTCTTTGTTACTTGGTATAAATCAGCACACATTGGGAAAGTAGATGTTGCTCTGAATAAAGCTAGCAGATTTATTACCTGATGCCTGAAAACTACCCTCTAGATAAGATCTAGCCAACACTGACCCGCCTGCTGTTTGCAGAGAAGCAGCAGCATACAGAGAGAGGCTTAAATCTTCTATATCTAGACAACACCCTCTCTATGTCCTACAACCAGTTCATGAGAGAGTAAAATCCAGAAAAAAACTTTCTTAGGTCAACAAAAGACTTTAAAGAATTTGAAAGCGGAATGGACTTATGGAAAGCAACAAAAAAACCAATCTGGATGGAACCAATGGAGGAGCTGGGTCTGATGAAAGCTGGAAAGTATGGAAATTGTTGAATAGAATGTCCATGGGAACAAGATCCAGAGACCCGCTGAATAAATGGGGCTATCGGGTGCCTTCTGACTTTTGCGACTCTGGTGACATGTAGATATACATATACATATGTATACCTGCCATTTTTGTCCTGATCAGTGTACACTTGAGAAGCTCATGGCAGCACGACAGAACATAATTAGTATTGCTAGTTTCTAGGTGAGATTTGTTTAATTTGTACATATTTTAATCTTTTATATTTTAAATGTTATGTTGTATAGTATGCTTATTTTAATTGTGATGCTTCTGACACAAATAAACAAATGTGTTTCAAGATGAAAAGAGAAAAGATATGAATATTTTATTGAAGTCTGTCTCTATTTGTGAGGTCACTGCAATTGGGTTAAAAAGAATAGTATCCAGCCAGATACAGGAAACCTTCAAGTATCCGAGCCGCCCAGTTTACATTTGAATTACAAAGGCATTAAGACTAAACATGTAATCTTACCTCATGACTTATGTTTTGAAATTTAGTAGTTGCTGACACTGACATATACTGAGTTGGAATATTCTTACCATTTTCCAAAACATCTTTTCCTGGCACTGGCTAAAAAAAGATATTTAAATTAAAAAATGTTTTGATAGTCCAACTGAAACATCTATTACCATCTTCTACATATGGTAACTTACATGGAACTTATCTTGTTCAATTTTATCTTCCCATTTATTTTCAGGACTTGCAGATGTAGAAGGTTCACTATTTCCTGAAGGAATGTCAGCTTTTAAGATGAAAGGTAAGAGAGAAAAGTGCATTGTCTTATATACTGATGACTATATTAAATGTATTTTATATAGACTATATTAAATACAGTGAAATAGTTTTAGCCATAACTTCCATGTTTACAATTAGTGGAGCAAATGAAACATAACTACAAAGGAAAAAGTTCCCTATTTATATAAAGAAAAGCTTTTAAAATAAGTATGAATCATTTCAACAGCTGTATCATCCTACCTTTTGGAATATCCAAACTAACTTCAGTGATAGTCAAGGCTGAAATATCCTTAACTATAGATTTGATATCTAGCTGTATTTGTTTGCATTCTGGCTGATCTTCATGACCAGATGCCATCTGCATCAGCTCAAGTTGAGTCTTCATTCTGTACAATAATAAAAATACAATTATATGGGATTCCCTCTTGCTGATTTTTTTAAAAAAATGAGCAGTAGTATATAAAAAACATCTATAAATGTAGAACACAATACAAATGAAACATTTAATTAAAGAAACTTATTTGTGTCAAGCACAACTGATCTAAATGAAATAAAATAACTAAGTGAAAAACAACTTGATTTTTATGGAGTTACTGTCAGAAAAAAACATTGGTCGAAAACTAATTTAAAAATCCTGGAATTTACAAATAGCTCAAGGAATAGGAAAAATAAAACCCAGACAACCAAATGAGGAGAAATTATTGAAAGAAGATAAGAACTAAGTAGGTTTGTGATCATCAAAAAAAATTCATAAAATTACTTATTTTTTACATTGTGAACAGGGATTTGTCTACCTGATTGGTAACTGTACCAATCTAATTTTAAACTATATTTATTAACTATGTAGCTAATATTAACATTTCACATAAGAAAGACTTCTTGACTTAAGAACATAAATCATAATCAGAATTTGACCAGTTAAGGAAGCTTGTTATGTGACTTTTTTCAGAATAAAAATTCAAAATCCCTTAATATTTGTCTATGAAAATATACTTAAGACAAAAGGTTACACTTTTACTTGCCTCAAAACAGTAAGTTCCAATATTGAACTTATCACTGTTCGATAAGCATAATTTTCCTTAGATGTTTCACTTAATATAGTCAGAAATTTTTACACAAATCAGCACATAAAAATCTGATAAAGAAAATCAAATAGTAAAGTATCTGGTGATTTTTTAAAAAAGCAACAAAATCATTTTCTTCTATTGAAAGTAATTACATACAATTAGCTTTATGCATAAAGTACCTTTCACACTTAAAAATATTTTCAAGATTTTACAATTAACTAACGAGCTTAATCAACTTTAACTTACCTTTGATTCAAATTGCATGCAACCTGTGAATTAAGAAAAATGAAAATTAAGTTCATTACAACCCACCATATTATCACAATATTTTTCAGAAATTAGATAATTAACCAATAGTATAGACTATACTGATTGTTTCAACATGTAAAATCAAGAAAAAATTTGAAGATCTGATATACTGCTTGAAATGAAGGCATTTTGGGAATCTATTCAATGAAATCCTCAAATATTTTGTTTCTACCGTATTTTCCGGCGTATAAGACGACTTTTTAACACATGAAAATCTTCTCAAAAGTCGGGAGTCGTCTTATACGCCGGGTGTCGTTCTCCTGTAACCAGGCAGACCAGCCCAAAAGGCTCTGACGAGCCTTAAATGGCTCTTGCGATCCAAGCTCTGACGATCCCAGTTGAGTTGCCTGCTAATCAGGCAACTCAGCTGGGATCGCCAGAGCCATGTAGAAGGAAAAAACTTTTTTTCCTTTCACATGGCTGTGGTGATCCAAGCTCTGACGATCTGCTAATCAGGCAACTCAGCTGGGATCGCCAGAGCCATGTAGAAGAAAAAAAGTTTTCCCCCTCCAGCTTGCTTACCTTAGCTGCTAGTCGCAATGCTTGCCTTGCTTTGCTTGCCTGAATCCATTCCATCAGCAAGCAACTCCCTGCCTGCAATCAAGCAGGCAGGGAGTTGTGGACTTCAACTCCCAGAATTCCTCAGCCAGAAAAACAAAGCTGGCTGAGGAATTCTGGGAGTTGAAGTCTACAAGTCTTAAAGTTGCCAAGGTTGGAGACCCCTGTTCTATTGGGTAAGTTTTTTCCCCCTTTGGGAGCTTTAAAAAAAAAAGTCAATTGGGGTTTTTTTAGTTGTTCTTTTTTAGACCTAGCCATTTAAAGTTCAGGAAGTTTTAAATTTAGCTTTCATATAAAAATAAAAATAAAATAAAATAAAATATTTGTGCAGCTTTCTGAGATTTAGTGTGTTTCTGTAGTGATTCACTCTAACTACACAAACACACAAAATCTCACAAAGCTGTATGTGGAATTTTGTGTGTGTAAAGTGTGACAGTTGTTTTTTGGGGCTTTTTGTGGCTGTGTGAGGTTCCTGCTTGTTGCAGGGGCCATTTTGGGTCTAGCACCGCTGCTTTTACATTGTGGATGAGCCAGTTGTGTTGTGCTGTGTGTGTGTAAAGTGTGAAAGTTGTTTTTTTTGGGCTTTTTGTGGCTGTGTGAGGTTCCTGCTTGTTGCAGGGGCTATTTTGGGTCTAGCACAGCTGCTTTTACATTGTGGGTGAGCCAGTTGTGTTGTGTTGTGTGTGTGTAAAGTGTGAAAGTTGTTTTTTTTTTTGAGCTTTTTGTGGCTGTGTGAGGTTCCTGCTTGTTGCAGGGGCCATTTTGGGTCTAGCACAGTTGCTTTTACATTGTGGGTGAGCCAGTTGATGTTTTTTAATTTTTATTTGGTGTGCGTTGGAAGAGGGGTAATCTTATACGGCGAGTATAGCCCAAACCCTGTATTTTAACAGGAAAATTCGGGGGTCGTCTTATACGCCCAGTCGTCTTATACACCGGAAAATATGGTAATTCTACCATCCACAAGTCTGTATACTGTCATGTAAGTCTGCATGTCTGAGTATTCAATGCCCAATCACTCCTCCAACTAACAAACTATGTTGCACATTTGATTCAGAGCTAAAAAATTAGTTTGGACCTTTTAAATCATGGAAAATTACTTTCATTCTGTGTCATTTTATGTTGCTTTTCAGTTTATCTCATTTCTTACTTTCCATTAAGATTTATTTGGAATCAATTTTTTGATATTTAGTCTTGCTTTGTTTTATTAGCTATATTTTATTGTTTGATAAGTCTAACATTCTATGCATTGTTTTCTACACCGATTTTAATAAAATTAGTCTGTTTGGATATCTTAGAATAGAATAGAACAGAATTTTTTATTGGCCAAGTGTGATTGGACATACAAGGAATTTGTCTTGGTGCATCTTGAAAGGAAAGGAGATGTTTCAAGATGAATAATCAATGTCAGTCTGTCTTGCAGTAGTAGAAGTCATGTACATATAGAACACATCCTTCTGAATGCCCCCCATTTCTCTCAGAATACATATTTAGTTGTGCTTTATGAAGACACCTCTGAATCCACTAAACACTGAGTTGGCATCTTGAAAGATTATGACTCAACTGCTTAGATAATCTACTGAAATTGTCTGAGCATGCATGCAGAAAATAAAAGACACTTTTATTGGGATTGCCCCCGTGTACATCCAAGTAGAAAATAATTTAGCTACTGTTTAGCACACACCCAAAATCATATTTAAAATACATTAATTACTGTTTTAAACAATATGGACAAAAAACAAATCACTTTATAGCAAATCCAAAACTAACTGTGTTTACCTCTAAGAAATGCTGTGGATCACATTCATCTAAAAGGTTTTCACAGTCAATCAGAATATTTTCAATTGTTTTTCGGTGAGCTTCTTTCATATTCTTCCATATAAGATGCTCTTTCTCTTTTCTTTTCTTCTGGCTTTCAAGGTTTTTAAGCAACTCCTTCTTTCTGGTTTCCAAAGCATTATAGAGTTTTTCAAATTCAGTTTTAATCAATTCCTCTTCATTCTGCATTAGGGCCTACAGTAACAGTGACAAAGACAAAATGTATGAGCACTGAAATGCTCCTATCCATGCAGAAGTCAAAATACCAGAAAGCAGTTCAAAGCACTAGAATTGTGTGTGTGTGAGTTTGCGTGCGCACATATATGCACATGCTTTTAAGTCAGTGCTGACTTCTGGCAACTGACTTAAAAAAAACAAACCCCAAAAATGTTAAGTCTGCATGTCTGAGGTGGGCAATCTATTTTGACTTTGGGATTGCAATTTCTTTTTGAAACCAGCCTAGGAGAAGAGGATCACAAGAGACTAACTGATAAACTATAGTTTATAAACTATAAACATAAATTTGCAGATATTTAAGATGTTTTAATTTGAACATTATCCCCTACTTCACCATCACTATTCAAAAGGGCTATGCCAGATTTTTAAAAGGTAAATCATGTGCTTTAATTCTATGCAAGGCTCTCAGCACTCACCTCTACCTAACTAAAATATGCAAAATGTGCCAAAAGCTGGAACATTTCAGATCCTTCAGAGGTTTTGAGAGGTTTTCCTACTTTATTCTGTCACTAGGTTGCAACTATGACCAAAATTAAATGCTGTAAGCACTCTATTGGAGTTACTATGTTTTTACACCCATTTTAGTTTGTTCAAACATTACTGTGCCCAACTTTCAGAATTACCAATAAATAAGATCACTGATAGAGGTTTTCCAGTTATTTCAATTCAAAGTCTGGAAAAGTTAGTTTGGATTACTTTTCCTGGAATTTTAATCCCAACCAAAAAGTGTTTGCATACTTGAAAAAAAAAGTAATTTATTATTTATTTATTTTTTAATTTGATTTATATGCCGCCCTTCTCTGGAGACTCAGGGCGGCTTACAATGCGCTAAGCAATAGTTTAACTATTGCTTAGCGCATTTAACTAATTAACAATAGTTAATTAGTTAAGTTTCAGTATTAGATTATTATTGGCTATATTAGAAAAAAACTAACATGGGAAGCAGCTTTTATTTCTTTTAAAAGAAAACCTCCCAATCTATGTCATATTTTTTAAAAAGGAAAGGAAAAACACATATATTCAGAAAAGCTTCTGACTGTTTTCAATTCCAACAGAAACAAAAGGATCAAAAAGTTTATCAGTATCATGTGAAAAATGGTCATAAGTCACTTTTTTTCAGTGACATTGTAACTTTGAAAGGTCACTAAATGAACCATTGTAAGTCGAGGACTATCTGTATACCATTTATGCTTAGAACAGAATTGAGAAAAAAATAGTATTTTCACTGTATATATGTACAAACATAATTCATTTAGTAAAATATTTTTCTCAGTTGATTCTCAACTTGTTAATTCAGTTTACCTTTTCATCCTTTGGAGATACTGAGATTTCATTCATCATTTTCAATTGCAATTCTCTTATTTTCTTCAGGTTACTAAAGAAGGCTAGCTGTAAAAAAGGTAGTTTTAAAAGTTAAACAAATTTGAGATGCACAATACTTTATTTAAACATCATTTCTAATTTTCAAACATTTTGAATAATTTTGCTTAAACTAAAAAAATATCAGCAAAAATGTTTTCCAGTGTTAATGTTAGTATTATGTTGTTTAGCTAATATAGAAAGATTCATATAGAAAGATGCCTGGTTTAGATTTCCAAAAATATATTCAGAAATAGGAGTCTATTTCCTAATTTTATTAATTTTACTGTTTTTTTCTTAGAATTTGGCTTACGAGTTACAATTTTAATTAAGGTCCTCAATCAGATTTATATTCCACTGAGATCAACAGGTTTGGTAAAAGTAAATAAGAACTAATAAGTTCTAATAAGAAAAACTAATAAGAAAAAGGGGAGAGCGCAAATTAATGAACTCGTTATTTACATTTTATTCCAATTTTCTTTTGCTTATTTATTTGGTGCCTTTCAGTCAGTAAGTCCATGAACCTTTCTTGGAAATGTGGTTCAAATGTGGTTTGCCATTGCTCGATTGCTAAGGCTGAGAGAGAGTAACTTGCTCAAGGCCATGCAGCTAGCTTCGAGCCTAAGGCAGAGCTAGTATGTATACCATACCTTAACCACTTCACCAAACCAGCGCTTTTCTTATACTATGCATTTTTAGTGCTGCAAATGATACGTAGTATAGTATCATTATTAGTAGTATCTTTCTATTTAGTATAATAGAAAGATGGGCTAAAATACATAACAAAAACAATGGCCAAGATGGCAATCAAACAAGACCTATTAGTATTTACATTAGTAAATGATATATGCGGAGAATTTGGTTTAAATTTTCACTTCCCAGTTTGATAGTTTGCTGTTTAGTTTTTGCTCTTCCACTGCACACCAGTAATTCATCAGCAGTGATAAATGTCACACACTTCTAGGAGCAACTAAACAATTTACCTGAAAAGTAATATCCTTATATTAAGTGGTCAGTAGAGGGGGCTTGCATAAGTGCACTAACATGCCTATCGTCCCTGTCATTATATTTTTATTCTTATTCTTGTTCTCATTTATTTCACAAATTCCAATAAATAAAATAAATATATGGACCTATCATGCTCTCAATGTTATCTATCTACCCATCTACCTACCCATCCATCCATGCTTAAGATCTGCTGGTCCATACCTTTTAGGTATTCCTATCTTTGTATAAAATTTAACTATGATGATTGAATAGCTGGATTATCTCAAATTAAGTTACTGCTATATTTGCACAAGCATTTTGCTGTATATATTTTATATACACCATTTATGTAATTATGTACATATTACATTCTAATACACTAAATCAAACTGTGAACAGATTACATATAGTCTTTGACTTACGACCACAATTGGGACCAAAATTTCTGCTGCTAAGGCAGTTAAGTGAATTGTGCCTCATTTTATGACCTCTTTTGCTATAGTTATTAAGCAAATCATTGCAGTAGTTAAGTGAATCTGGCTTCCTCCCCAGATTTTTTGGAAGCCAGCAGAGGTTGATCACACAATCACAGGATACTGCAACCATCATACATACATGCCCGTTGCCAGTGTCCTAATTTTGATCATGTGACCATAGGGATGCTGCAATGGTTAAGGGCAAGGATCAGTCATAAATCATTTATTTCAGTGCCACTGTAACTTTGAACAGTTGTTAAACAAATAGTTCTAAGTGGAGGATACCTGTAGTACTAAAAAAACTTGCTACAAAACCCTATCTTCTTATTCTAGAATGTTTTATGGTATTGGATTTGTGTTTGTAAAAGTTTCATCTACTTCTCAACAGCTTGTATTGATTTATGTGTGAAGTGTGTCCTAGGATCACAGAGAACTCTATTCTCTTTTATTAGTTTTCTTTGTATCTGATTGTCTTCAAATGGGTTGGGCCTTAAGAGAGGCCTTTTTAACACTTCTGGAAAGCATCATAGGCACTCCTACAACTGCGTATATGTTAGTCTCTCTTGGGAAGCCCACGTCACTTTTCCAGGGTCGTTCCCTTCCCTTCCCTCCACTCCACTCCACAGATAAGCGCGTACTTTTTCCTCCTGGTACACCGTGTCGATGAGGTTGACTGAATGGAAGACGCCGCGATGGTCTTCTGATACGCATTGCCCGCAGCCTCCAGAGCGGCACATCCGGCAGTAGAGCTGCAAAAGTCGTCCCGGGTGTTTCTTGCAGATCCCGCCCAGGGCAGCCAGTTGAGGGACGAGAGCTGACGAGTCCACCTCCGCTATCGCTTCCAGGCTAGGTTTCGTCGCCGGGCTAGCAGCCCTGAACAGTTTCACAACCTCGGCTAGCGTGGTGTTGACAGGTAATGCAGAGGCCCCGCGATCGGAAGGAAGCGAGCAGAGTTTGCGGCACAGCGGGCATGACAGAATAATCGAGCCTCCGTCCCGTGATGGGCGGCCGGGAGCCCGAGGGCTCTGCTGGAGCGAGTCACGGCTTCGAGAAGAGGGCCTCGATGCAGAGGAAGAGGAAGAGGGCAATACGACGCTTGCAGCTTGACTGAGATACTCGACGACGCAATGGCGGCAGAAGTTGTGAGAGCAGACGGGCAGCGTGACCGGATCCTCGAAGAGCGACAGACACACCGCACACGTCAGGCTGGCCTCCATTTGCACATGCGTTGCCAGAGTCTCACCAAATGAGAGTCGAGATGGACGTTTGGTGTTCTAAACAGTCCTTCCAAGAAAGAAGGACTTTCCCCCAACTCTACTCAAGCTTCCGCCAATAAACAAACGCCCAGCTTTCCTCTATTTGTCATTTACTGAGAACTACCATTCTCAGACCACGTCCCACCCCCTTATCCCAGTAAAGAGCCAATTAAGAAGAAAATGAAACCGTTAGCGTTCAAACTCCTTTCTCCCCGCCTCTTAATATTATTCCAACGGATAATTAATTCAGATTGGCAGTATTCTCCGCCAATGAACTTGCAGGCTTTCCTGTTTTCCGAACGGAAGGCAGAAAGAAGTCGAAAAGAAATAGTTCGTCCTGGGGTATATACGGTAGCTTGAGCGATCTCTGTTTTTCCTAGCGTCTATGAAAACGGGTCGATTACATTTTGAGACTCAAAAAACTACGTTCCTCATGAAGTATTACGGTAAATAGATGGAGCCAAATCGGAATGTTGTACAATCCTATCCATGTCCTTTCAGAAATAATCCCTATGAAATTTACTGATGAGTATAGGATTGCTGTTTCGAAGTATTTTATATGGAGCTTCATGATATGCTACCACTTGAATGAAATAAGTTACATTTTAACTTATTGGAAATAAAACTCACCTTTTTAAAAACGTCAATATATGCTGCTCAAATTAAATTGAAATATTACGTATTTATAATAAAGAGGCATTACAAGAAGAGATATCAGTGCTTATTTCAGTATATTAATTTCAAAAGGACTCAGTAGTCTCTTTATTTCTTCTTTCAATCAGTGGCCTGTCAGATGGGCTACTTTTGAACAGAGATTTACTAGTCTTGCAGAAGACAGCTGGATAGTTCTATAGTTCTTTTCTTCACTTACGTTAGAAGGGGAAACTGAATTATTGAAAATTTTACACAACCTTTTTAATATTTGGAATTTGTAAGCATTGCAAGAAAATGCTTGCCTAGCAGCTACAACACTTAGAAATAGCTCATGGAGTACATAAAATGGTGTCCAAGTAGGCAAGATGTACTGTGTCATGTTATTTGCATGGGATATTCTTCTGTAGGACAAGCAGGGACAAGTACATGAAAGAAGTTATCATTACATCCTCAGACCAGGTTAAATTCTTGAATTATTCAATTACAGGTTGGTGCCTTCCTTGACAAAACACCAGTGTATTCAGGAATTCAAGTGAGGCCTAAGAAATTCCTTGAAAAATAAAAAAGGTGAAACTATATGGGAGAAGGTTCAGGGGTGGGTTCTACTTACCGTTACTACCGGTAAAGGTAAGTAGATTGCGTGCATGAGCAAAGCGAATGCGCGCGCCTTGCTTCTGCGCATGCACAGAAGCTTCTGCACATGCGTAGATTGCTGATGACAACATCCGGGTCAGTGGGCAGGGCCTCCCGCCAGTTTTACTACCGGTTCTTGCAAACCGGTCCGAACCAGAGGCAACCCACCACTGGGAAGGTTCTTTTTGAAAGGGTGGGCAGACCTACAGCCCAAGAAGAAATGACACTGGAAGGAAGAACAGGTGCCCACATTAGCATGCACAAGTCAGCTGAAGTGGGGTGAACTCAATAACCTCTACTCCTTTTAAGGCTGCTTCCTGAGTTCTTGCCGGCACTTTCCCCACCTTCTTTGTGGGACCAGAGGCTGGTTTTTGTATCAGACATAGTGCTCAACAGTTGGCTGCTCTGGGAGGGGCGTTGCTGGCATCGCGATGGTACGGTGGGCAATCTTGAAGCTCCAAGATCGCCATTGATATCTTCGCCACTGGACGGTCCGTTTTGGACCTCACCGTCCTGTAGAGACGGTGATAGTGGAGGGCACATCCTGCTGATCCCAGGGACACCACAAAGTCCAGGAGAAGCCCTTTTTTCCGGCAGTGAAGAGGCAGCCATTGAAGCTGCTGAAGTTGGGACAGCTCCAAAACGGAAGTCGGGAAGAAAGTGTGTTGGCTTGGTGAGATAATTTTTAAATATATTATCTGAGAGAACACTCTGAGGTTAAAAGAAAATTAAAATTGAAGACAGAAGAGATTAAGTGGTGGAATTAAGCCTGAGTCTAAGGTAGCTCTCCCTATTTTTTAACATATTTTTACTTGTGGATGTTTATGGATGCTTTTATTTTTTAATTTGGATTGGACTGGAGATTTCCATTTTATCTACTTAACTACTAAATTCTTGGTGTCTTTTTGTACAAATTTTCTTTTGTTCTACTTTTTGTTTACTTTTTTCTATCTCTTTTTGTTTTATGGTGCATTGAATATAAGAAGGGAAGGGAAAGTGGAGGTAATAAGTAACACTGCCATCTAGTGGACTGGAAATATTGTTTCTTTCCCCCCCCCTCTGGTTTAAGAAAGTAACTACTGTGTTACTGTGTTACATTCCAAGGACTCTGAGCCTATTTATAGATAAGATAGTGGGAAGAGCATCAAAGACTTTTTACATGATTGTTTATTCAGGTGCTCTTCTGGGAAACTATCAGTGGCAGGAATCTGAGATTGAAAAGAAGAAGATTGCAGTGACTCTGGAAAGAGAGCTGTAAATAATTATTTGAAATTTAACAAAAGAGTTTTGGTTATTATACAGTGGTAGATCTTCCTTCTGGACAGAAAGCTCATTGTTGGGTTTTTTTTTGTTTTTGTTTTTTGTTTTTTTTACTTTTATTGGTGTTACTTCTCCACCTCCCCATTATTCAATTATTCTTATTCTTAGCTGGACTGTGGCCTTTTAGAGGATTTTTAACTTTTTATACACACATAGATATTTTCCTATTGTCTTTTTCCCCTTTTCTTTTTTGGCTTTTTTCTTTCTTTTTTTTTTATTGAAAAAGTTTTACAAACATCAATTTTTTTCCCCCCTTTCCCCCCCCCATCCCTCCCTCCCCATGACTTACCCAAGTTGAAATCCATCCACATTGTATTATATCATACTTTACCAGCCCTCTATTCTCCTCCCTGTGCACTATAAATTTCTACATAACAATAAACTATTTTGCCCCCATATACTATACATTTCTACACAACATTCAGCTAAAAGCTATCTGGTACTTCCTGGTTTGGTATTTATTCTGCACATAATCTATCCAATTCTTCCACTCCCATGCATAAGTCTCTTGAGTCCGGTCTTTTAAGTATGCTGATATCTTCGCCATTTCTGCAAAACTGGCCATTTTCAAAGTCCATTCTTGAATTGTAGGCATATCAACCCTTTTCCAATATTGACCAATCAGTAACCTGGCTGCTGTCACCATATACAATATCAATTTTGTTTCACCCACTGAAAAACCCTTAACTATACCCAGTAAAAACAAATGAGGAGAAAATTGAATTTTTTTCTTTAAAACATTTTGCATAACCCACCAAATTTTTATCCAAAAAGCCTTGGCTTTCTTGCATGTCCACCATATATGATAATATGTAGCATCTAAACAATCACATCTCCAACATTTCGGTTGAACATTAGGATACATACATGACAATTTCTTAGGATCTAAATGCCACCTATAAAACATTTTATAAAAATTTTCCCTTAAATTCTGTGACTGTGTAAACTTAACATTCTGAACCCATATTTTTTCCCATGTTTCCATCATAACTGGTTCTCCAAAATTTTGTGCCCATTTTATCATACAATCTTTAACCAATTCATTTTCTGAATCTCTTTCTAACAAAACATTATAAATCCTCTTAATATGCATTGGGCCTTTCTCTTTTATCTGTCTAACCAATTCTTCTTCATGCAACATTAAACCGGTTTTTTGATCTTCTCTCCATCTCAATTGAAGTTGATTATACTGTAACCAAGTTAAATTAATCCTTTCTTCCAACAGTGTGTTCAATGTCTTTAGTTGCCATCTGCCCCCATCATTAAAAAGTACTTCTTTATATAAACCCCCCCGAGTGACTTTATATTTATATTCCGTATAATGTGACCAAGATCCAACCACAACGGTATTTTGTAATCCCATTTGAATCGGTGCTTCTTCCATACTCTCATCAAGGAGCTTCTAAGTATATGGCTATTAAATACTTTGTTCACCTTGTTTTCATAAAATAAATATGCATGCCAACCAAATTCAAGATCGTGGCTTTCTATATTCAATATTCCAGTCTTTGTCCTTCCAAACCAATTACTTGCTTGTGTAAACGCTGCAGCTTCATAATATAATCTAAGGTTTGGAAGTTTAAGACCACCCCTTTCACGAACATCTTGCATAATTTTCAGTTTAACTCTTGGCTTTTTTCTTTTTTTGATTGGAGATTGTTAATTTGGTCAATATCTCTCTACTTAATTGGATTAAGGCATACAAGAGCCTGAAGAACTTTTTTCTTTTCTTTTCTTTTCTTTTCTTTTCTTTTCTTTTCTTTTCTTTTCCTTTTCTTTCCTTTTCCTTTTCCTTTTCCTTTTTCTGCTTGTTACTTGGGACAATATCTGTCCTCCATATGTGGATTAAGGTATAGAAGAACCTGAAGGTTTTTTTATTTGTTTGAATTTTTTTTTCAACCACTACACAGAAATGAGTAGAAAGGCAACAGCTATAGGTTCTTTTACATCGATTCCTTCCTCTTCGCCATCTGGAGGACAACGATCAATACAGACAATGTTGCAACAGGAAAAGGAGAAGGAATGAGAGAAGGAAAAGGAAGTGAAGTTGCAGATGATTTGGCAAGGAATTCAAAAAATACAATCAAGAGTAAAGAATATTGAACAGAGAACAGAAAATATTGAACAAAGAACAGAAAAAATTGAACAAAGAACAGAAAAAACAGATGAAAAAGTGGAGAACATACATCAAATGATGGAGAAATATGAGGATAGACTCCAAAAAATTGAAGAAAAGGAAGAACAAAGGGACAAAAAAAAATCAGAGATATTGACAGTGGATTGGATGAGGTTGAACGAGATAAGAGTGGAATATTGGGATGGGAGATGGACAGATCAGAATTTTTTTTATTTATTAGTTCAATTTATATATTGCCTTCCTCCGAAGACTCAGGGCGGCTTACAATGCACTTATAGCAATAGCCTTCATTCTTTTGTATATACCTGCTTATTAGGGCTTTTGGCCCCCCATAAGCGGTGTTTCTACAAAGTCAGCTTATTGCCCCCACAATCCGGGTCCTCAATTTACCTACCTCGGAAGGATGGAAGGCTGAGTCAACCTTGAGCCTGGTGAGAATTGAACT